GCCACCTCGGTCCTGGAAGTGGAGCTCCCTGAACACACCATCATCCTGGTGCCCGAGGGCCTCCAGGCTTCAGACCATCTTGGACAGCCTGGGTTCTTCTCCGCCAGCCCGCAGGGGGGCGCTGGCCTGGAAATGCCAGAGGAGGACCTGCTAGTCCTCCAGCTGGTAACCTCCTGTGAGTTCATTCTAGAAATTTCCTACCAAGAGGAATCCTATGATGAGGATGAGGACTCTGGCTCCCTATCACCCTGGATGGATTCTCCAGCTGGTCAGGCAAGTGAGCACTTTTCCTCCACCAACAGGATGCCCAGTCCTTGGCCTCAGGGCCACATCCCAGAACCATATCCTTCAGGGCCTTCCCCTAATGCAGAGCCATATTCTCCAAGGTCTGTCTGGGACCAGGACAGCTACCTGCTGGGACCCTTCCCCAGCTCACCCCTGCAGCCTCTGCCTCCATCTCCTCCTCCAAGGCCCCAAGAGCAGCGCCCTCCATCCTCTCCGAGGTCCCCATGCAAGGCCAGGAAGAGACTGTTCTGTGAATGAACTGCCCTCCACCAATCCTGATGCCCCTCAAATGAGAGATTGGCTCCCAGCACCATCGTGAGTGCCTCTGCACAGCCTACAAGGTTAGAAGGGCACTCTTGTTTATGAATTGGGCAGAATATTGGATTGTTGGTTGCTAGAATGTCTGGAAGGAAGATCATCGCCTCCAGATCACGTGCTGGTTGACACTTGCCTGCATTTGCTCTTTGACTTGACTGCTTCCTTAGACTTTTTCTACACAGAAGTCACCCTGGGCAGTCTCATCACCGCAGTCCTGGTTTTGCCCCCAACTTGCAGCACTTTCCCTCATACTTCACCCTATCATTCGCCTTTCTCCAACTTAGTTTCTTGAATTAACTAGTCATTGATAGTGAAAATCGTTTATGACTTTACCACTACCCCTCCAACTCTGCCAGCTTTTTTGCCATGAGCCCTTCCTTACCGCGGTTCTTCCTCATTAGGGAAAATCTAGCAAATGGTTTCATCAGAACACATGCTCTTCTGTATGAAACAAACTTAGCAAGGGAAGCAATGATCGTGCTCTTTTCTTGTTTTGTTTTGTTTTTTCTTTGTTTTGGTTTTTCGAGACAGGGTTTCTCTGTAGCTTTTGGAGGCTGTCCTAGAACTATCACTTGTAGACCAGTCTGGCCTCAAACTCACAGAGATCCGCCTGCCTCTGCCTCCTCAGTGCAAGGATTAAAGGCGTGCGCCACCACCACGCAGCTCATGTTTTTTTTTTAATAAGTACTTAATTTGGTGGGGCTGTTGTTTGCACTGTGGGTTTATTTTGGGTTTTTTTCTTTTTGATTTGGCTTTAGTTTTTCAATAAGAAATAAGTAGTTGGATATCATTTTCTGTATTTTTAATATAGTTCTCCTGTTCTGGAGGTCATAATTCTAATGTTACAATAATTAATTATAAGACTATATTCTTAGAACAAGTAGAATATCCCAAATTTATGTTATTCCTTGTTACTAGTATGTAGATATGTCTTATGTTGATTTGATTTCCAACAAATTTATTTTTATATAGTAATTTTATGTACCTTCTTTTGGATGTTTGATAAAAACAATATCTCTACTGAGAAAATGGGGGCCTTTGACATATCTAATACATCTTATTTATCCTTAATAATTCCTATGAAATCGTTAAGTTCAATTGAAGTGTATTTGTTAAGGACATTCCTATCATATAGAATGCAATTACTTAAATTTTATAATAGAATATTAGCTTCTCTGTAAATAGTTGTTAGATATTCTTTGTCCTGCTGAAGATGTGATTTTATAATGTTTCTGATCATAGAAAAGTGAGATTCTTTTGTTTTGGTTTTGGTTTTAAGTACTAAGGCTTTGTCGAAATGTTGGATTTAATAATTTAATAAAATTGTATTTTAAAAACTTGTGTATTAGAATACCTTCATGTATGAGCTATGTTAAGCCCTGAGTCTTTGGCAAACACACAACAACATGGTTAGAGGACAATGAGACCGGGGTTGGGGCTAAGGAGATTGTAAACCTCAAGTCCTCTTTCTGATACTTGAGCAGAGGTGGTTAGAAGCAGAAATGATTGACGAGTTGCCTTACAGTGTCACATGGTAACATTTAAGAAGTTTTTGTTTTGAGCATGGTGTTCCATGGTGTCTTTTCCATTAGTCCATGCTGACAGAACACACGACGACTCAGGAAGGCCCTCTGCACCCCTGCTAGTCCATAGGATTTCCTTCTGATTGTCATTATACTCTGGGATTTTTCTGCTTTGGGAGGTTAGAGAGTGTTTGAATGGCTGACTGGTAGGGCTGAGTTTTTTGGAGAAATGGTCTCCCTATATAGTCGTAACTGTCCTAAAACTCACCTTGTAGGGAGATCAGCCCAGGCTCAAACCCACAAGAATCTACCTTTTCCTTTCTTTCTTTCTTTCTTTCTTTCTTTCTTTCTTTCTTTCTTTCTTTCTTTCTTTCTTTCTTTTTTTGACAGACTTTCTGGCTGCGCTGCAAATCAATCTGAAGACCAGGCTGGCCTCAAACTCAGAGATCCAACTGCCTCCCGAGTGCTAAGATGAAAAGTTTGAGATTAAATGTTATGCCCAATTTTCTTTTAATTTTGAGACAGGGTTTCATTGATTAGCGCTGGCTATCCTGGAACTCATTTTGTAGAACAGCCTGGCCCACCTCTACCTCCCGTGTATTGGGATTAAAGGAATATGCCACCACTGCCTGGCTTGCTGTTTTTCTTGAAACCCCTCTTAACTAAAATTAAAATGTCCATAGAGAAAATGACATATATACACAGATACATACATACATACATATATATATATATATATTGATTTTTGAGACAGGGTTTCTCCGTAGCTTTTGGTTCCTGTCCTGGAACTAGCTCTTGTAGACCAGGCTGGCCTCGAACTCACAGAGATCCTCCTGCCTCTGCCTCCC